ATGTGTGTGTGTGTTGTAATAATATGGGTATACACCTTTAAGATGTTTTGTTTGTGTTAAGTTGGTCTTTGTGAGTAATGATATTATCCCACGCACCATTAACATCAGTACATTAAAAATGTGAGCTGACAGGACAGAGAGCATCCTGCCATGGTGCTCTTTATGGATTCAAGCCGTGGGCTTCCCTGTGGTTGTGTGACACAGCTGAGAGCTCATGGTCTGGGCCCATCTGTGTGCCCAGGGCTGTGAGAGCCCCCCACACTCCTTCACATCTCCAGGTCTTCCTACACTGCCCTCTATCGCTCTCTTTCTTCTTGATATTATATCAACATAATTGTTGGGAGACTGTCGTTAATAGGGCTAGAAGTCAAATACCATTCATGTTTGCTTAATTTCTTAATAACATTTTGGAATATGTATTTTGAAAATAATTTAATTGGCATTCATTCCATTTATTGCTCTATAGCACTCATGTTTCCTCTTCGTTATCGTTTTCACCCTATGGTTTACAGTAAATGGATCAGTCATCTTGGTTATTGTGAGAGGAGGATGATTTGGAAGATATACAATTTGTTATATTTATTTTAATTATATAATTTTTTATAATACATTTATGTTTTTGCTATGTAATTTGTTTTTGATGCTCTCCTGCTCAGGGACAGCAGATCAAATTTAGCCTTGTAGCTAATTCTGGGGCAGTCTTTGTCCATTGTCCCTGTTAAATAAAGAACCTATCATCTTGGTTATTGTGTGAGGAGGGTGATGTGGAAGATGTCATTGTTTTTGTCTACCTGGAAAGGGGAACGGGATTTATGAGCATTGATATTCCATGCGCATTTGGATGCCCTGTACCTTTATAGATTGATGCCGTGCTGCAGCAAATGTTTGGTCATATTGCTCACTCAGGCCCCTTTACAGATTATTACCCTTTCACATTGATTGCCTATAGCAGTACTTGTAAAATGTCTTCTCGTTTTAGGAGGCACCCTGATGCTTTGCAATCTTGTACAGTCTGAAGTAACTGAAAATGTTGAATTATATCACGTGTCTTGTATTTTGCTTTATTTTAATTTTCTCATAAGGCATACAAATTTTTCTTTACAGGGGTCCTATTATGCTCTTTTACAAAGTCTTGATTTTGTTGTACAGCCGTTACCGGGGAAACCACAATATTTTAGCGCTCCTAAAGCGCCACCTCGTGGTAGAGAATGAATTTGCATTTCCAACAAGCCTTTCTTGCCGTTTATGGTCAGATCAATACAAATATCAACTCGTTTTTACGCAGCAAACACATCATCCCATGTTCACATCATGTTATCTTGTCCCACACATACACAGTGCATTTAAAAGGTGATTACATACGTTTTCTAAAGAAGTAGGCAGTTTGCTGATATTAACTGATATGTTCTCTTTGTGCCTGTTCTACTAGTTGTGCCTGCAGATCAGTTTTTCTTTTGTGTGACGTTCATTCAGCAGGTTGCATCACAGACGGCAGCACTGACTTTTCCCATGTAAATTCTGTCCACAGATTTTTACAAATGTAAAGGGAAATTAATTAAATCTTAAAATCATGGTATATA